TTTCTAGCATGCTGCACATAGCCAGTGTCCAGTCACTAATGAAGCATTCGAATTAGAGTTAAAAACCATGCATGACAACACAAATACTCATAAAATTAATGTCGAGCAGTAGAAGAATTCATTCACCAGAGGAGCAGCCTATTAACTGAAGATGTCAGATTAAAAAAATGGCACCAAGAAGGCATTTTCAGCACTTCAGAGCTCTAAAGTTTGGTGTGAAAACCAAATCTGTGAACTAGCAGAAGAAACTTCATGTTTTCAACTTGACTGTAAGCTGGCTGCTCGTATAGGATTGCAAGCTGGGTGCTACAAAACATTCAAAAAGAAACTAAATGCATTGAAAAGCAAGTGCTTACAAAAGAGTGTAGCTGTGAATGGAAATATTTCTTTCACCAGCACAGGGACCTTGAGAAATCAATAGCCAGTAGCTTGTCTTCACCAGAACTAGCAATGCTGGATATACTTTGGTCATATCCTTCAAACAATAACAGAAAGTCTCCTACGTGAGTTATTGGATGGAAGCAGGGTCACAAGCAATGACCAGTGAGCGATGGGTGGAAGAAACTCACCCCAGGCAATCCTGCTGACGTAGGCTTCAGAAATACGTCATGCAGCATGTAGAAAGGCTAGAAGCATAGAAACATCTGTTTGTGGCACAGTCACTGTAAATAATCACAGAATCACAGAATGGCAGGGGTTGGAAGGGACCTCTGTGGGTCACCCAGTCCAACCCCCTGTCCAAGCAGGGTCACCCACAGCAGGCTGCACAGCACCGTGTCCAGGCGGGTCTGGAATATCTCCAGAGAAGGAGACTCCACAGCCTCCCTGGGCAGCCTGGGCCAGGGCTCCGGCACCCTCAGAGGGAAGAAGTTCTTCCTCGGGTTCAGCTGGAGCTTTCTCTGCTTCAGTTTGTGCCCGTTGCCCCTTGTCCTGTCGCTGGGCACCACTGGAAAGAGTCTGGCCCCATCCTCCTGAGACCCACCCTTAAGACATTTATAAGCATTTATAAGGTCCCCTCTCAGCCTTCTCTTCTTCAGGCTGAACAAGCCCAGCTCCCTCAGCCTCTCCTCGTAAGAGAGATGCTCCAGTCCCCTCACCATCCTCGTAGCCCTAAATCCAGTGTCCTACAATACGTCGTAAGCCACAACAAGAGGAGAATGTGCTTCTGTCCCATACACAGTCCTCTTGGAAAATGTTTTGTGGCTCAACTCGGCTAATCAAGCCCCTTTGCCATCCGAATTCAAGCGTGCACTTGTCAGATGTACCTTAGTCCAAGGGTTAAAGTGCTTTCCTCAGTTACTTTTCACTGAGTCTATGGGCCCCATCCGTGGTAACCTACACATGCAGGCTGGTGTCTCCAGTTCTGCAAATACCCAAAAGCTATTTCTGATAAGCCTTCTCCTTCCCTTAGCTCAACTCTGGCCACTCCATGTAGACCTGGCACCCTGAGTCACTTCTGATGGGGCTTCTACCTCGCTTGTTTTCTCTGTTTCTGACACACTGCCCTTGCTCGGCGGCCTCACCCTTCTCCATCCCTGTCCGGTGATCGCCGATACCAGAGCTGCCGTTCCGCTCCCTGACCCCAGGCTGCTTTGCTCCCAGCTGCAGTTTCTGCCATCTGTCCCACGAGCAGCGGAGGGGGTCTCGTTCATCCCCGACACCACGCTCACTGCTGCCGGGCCCAGCCCAGTCTCAGAGCCTTCACTGCGTTTCCCAGCGAGGGGCAAAGGCGACAGGATAACCCCAGAGCAGCTGTGTCCTCAGCTCTGGAGATGAAGGACTGGGTTTCCCTGCCTTCCTGGGAAGCCCTGGGTCCCAGCCCCTTCCTCTGGCACTGCTGGGCTGACGGCCCCAGCAGCCCTCCTCCAGCCCTTTGCTCACCATGCTGGGGCTGGCTCTCTACCTCTCCACACAGCTACAACTGATTAAATGTTTCACTGTATGCCATTTTCCTCTCAGGCTTTTTTTTTTCTGTTTACGCCAAGCCAGAGAAACCACCTCCACGACTGTTTCCTTTCACAGCTTGTTGGGTTTTTTTTTTCACAGCTGTGGTCATGTTTGCGCAGTAGTATTGCAACAGAAAGCAGGTCTTAGATGACAGCTTGCTCATCTCCAACCTCTATACATTGTCTCTCTGGGAGTATTGCCTTTTCCTACTAAACCTGCGCCTTTTCTAAAAATGAAAATGTGATGAAAAGTGATTGACTCCGGGCACTCCAGTTCCTAGATCAGTATCTAATTTATTCGACCACCTTCCCCAGCTCTGTGTCCACCCCTGAGCTGGGCTTGTCCAGGGACCAACCCAGAAATGGTCTAAATGCTGCAGGGGACGTGCAGACCCCATCTGCTCGGTCCTGCTGCCGTCCCTGCGCCCGGGGAAGGGGCAGCGTTGCCTCGCCCGGGCAGGGACCTCCATGGCTGCAGCTTCACGCTGGGGCCTGCCCCAGCAGGAGAGGACGCTGCGGTGACAACATGGCCGCGCGCTGCCCAGGCTGGCCCCTCCTGCAGCAGGACAGCACAGG